GATCGTCTCCCAATATTTCGATCCCCATTGACTCCAGGACTTCCCTTAAGACCACAGCTACGTCCTCCGGGAAACACTCCTGGATTCTAATGACATCTTCTAGTCGCAACGTCATCTCCGAGAATGGTTGCACAGGAAAGTTGATCCTGCTATGATGTACAGCGTGTGTACGCTCCCAGCTGGGCGTATTCATAGCCGGGCTCCTCAGAAGGCTGGAGAGTGAACTTCCTCGTCTCGGGGGAGGAGGGTTAAGGGACTGTACGGGAGGAGTCGGTAATCTCCTGGAGGACGCCCGAGATTGTTCAGATGATGCTGGCAATACCCTCCTCTCCGGGAGCTTCTCCTTCTGACGTAATGTAAGGGGATTCTCACTTTCCCCTTGTATCCTTTCTATAGCGGCTACTTGGCCGCTGACTCTTCCTCCTGCGTTCGAGGCTGATTCCATATCTAGCTGCGGTACCGGCCCAGGGGGAGGTCCTCTCGTTCCCCAAGTGGGAGAGTAAGCAAAACCTCCCATGGGGCTACTGGCATTTGGGACATAACCCATGGAGGCGTACCTCCGCTGCTGTTGTCCCATCCCAGGGTCCACTGGAGGAGGTTCTTGAACCGCGGTTTGACGTCCCTCAGGGGTCCTTACGTTGCTGGCGGTTTCATCCCTGAACGATTGCTCTGGGATTGACATCAGGCATTGACCGGCTGCCACCGTCACGACGGCGGAGCTAGCAGCCTGGTTTGACTTTTGAGCTTGTGTCGTGTTTCCACGAGATAAGGCGCTCTTTTGTTTCTTTGATTCGATCTTGGAACTAGAAGGTCGTTCCGTTGACGTCGCCGACATTTTGTCGCGACGAGTCCGTTTGGTGACGGGAGAGCTTGGTATAATGTAAGACCTGGGTCAGAATAGGTCTTAGGGTGGTTTTGGTATAAAGAGTTTATATTGTAGCGTGCTAGGAGCAGGCTGGAGCTCGAAGGGAGCTATGGAAACCGCGACCGAGGATAGGAATGACCTAGTAGTTGATAAGACAGAGAGGTATGACCCTGGAAGAGGTCCCTGTGAGGTCCTGAGAGGTCCCTAAGGCGTAGGTAGGGGAGATGGATGTACGGAACCTAGTAGTATCGCGTAGTAGGAGTTGTACTCACTAGAACGTCGATATAGGATCGAATAGGTCGTGTTGGAATTGGGTATGGAGGGTCTAAGCTCCTGAGAAGATGTACGCCCGGGAGGGTAGGTTCCTGGGGACTGGGATCGAGGGTGGACGTCCTCAAGTGTGGGAGGTTGTAACGGCGAAGCGGTACATAGTTCGACGTAGGAAGCGGCTTCGACGTTACCTAGATCAAGATCCCGTAGCTTAGGGAGCAATGGGGGAGCTCGAGGAGGTGTTGGGGAGGTTAGCTCTCCAAGGCGTTAGGCGTTGGGGAGCTTTAGTATTGTTTGAGGGAGCTCAGAGACTCACTCGGATTGCTTAGACGTGAAGTAAAAGTGTATATTAGATCGTGTAGACGATTGTCGAAACCGTAGACAAGAATAGAGAGAAACAGAGATAAAGAAACAGAGAGTAGAGAGAATTCCGTATAGTTAGCAGGTACAAAGGGACAGGGACTGGACCTATGTAAAGGGTGTGTGTTCAAAATATACCAAGCTGGGGATTCGGGACATTGCGGCGCTACTTAAATAGGTACGGGAAGTGAACAAGAGGACATCTGGAGACATGAGGCAACTTAGTCGAGGGAGGGAGGTAATCTAGATTAGTACTTAAAGGGGTTGGTGGTTAGGGGGGTCTTGTATGCGTGTCGGAGTGGAGGACGTTTGGGTTACAATGCTTGGGGAGTGCATGGTGGTACTTGGGGAGGTATAGGGAGGTGTAGGGGAGGTATAGGGAGGTGTAGAGGGGGGCCAGGATGTGGATGGGATGTATGACAACATATGACGGGTACTGAGACTGGTCTGGTTGTAGTCAGGGCATGACACCTCCACTTGAATCCGGGGGATCAGTGATTGTGGTCGTCCTATCCTCTTCGTCATCATCGTTCATCTCTGTTCGTGAAGCACCAATACCCACTTCCAGTACCACCTCACCCGACGCGTCCAAGGGCAGGTCCGATTTCTCCTCCGGAACCTCCGGAACGAGGTTTGTGTTAAGATCATGTACACCGTGTAACCGTGCCAGAGGTCACAGAGTGTCTAAGTGCGGAAAACGAATGGGACAGTAGTGAAGTTATTAACAACACCGCCGTTACGCCGTTAGTCCCCGGAGATCAAGAGTATAAGAGGGAGGAGCTGAGCAGCAGCCAAGTCAGAGCGGCGGTATCGCCGGTGACGAGGAGCGGGCCAAAGAACTTATAAGTCCAAAGGCTGTAGAGAGAGTACTTCAAGGCGTTGAGCCTGAAGACTTAGGAGAGCAAAGAGTTAAGGAGGGAATCTAAGTCGATAATTAAACTGAGGAACTACAGTAGCGTACAAGCAGTATTTATATCTACAGAGCGGCGCAGCGGTGCGGAGCGCCAGACTAACTACTAGGAGTTATACGTGTAGTCCTGCAGGGTAAAGTAAAAGACAATAAGGAGAGACTAGAATGAAAGGGTATGTGTGGCGAGAAAGAACAATAAGGAGAGATTACAATAAAAGGTAGATCTTCGGAATACTGAGCGGCGGAATGGAGGCCCGAGGCATGGGCTTGACAGTTTGGGTGTGTGGATTTGTTGATGGATTTCGTTACCGCCGCTTTGGCTTTGACTGCTTTGCGAGGTGACAAGGCGGACGAGGTGGTGGAAGTGGAAGGAGAGGAAGGAGAGGAAGGGGAACTCGGGCAAAGTCCTTCAATGGTGCTTAGAGAGCATTCGGAGCATTTAGGTTTGACGGGGGTGCAGATTGTCTGTGATTCGGTCAAACCCCGAGAAGACAAAAAGCGGAGAAGTGCATAGTAGCGCACCTGTCTGAACCTGACTAGGAGGTGATTGATTTTTTGGTGTAGATCGTGGGGAAGCCATGATTCGAGGTTGATTCTATTGGGATGAGTGAGGGGGGTGTGACCAAGTTTGTTCTGGAGTTTTGGTCAATGGATTGTGCCATCCTAAGCGATTGGAGATGCGATGGACGTTGATATGCTGACTCTGGGCTATGCATAAAATGCTACTGCAAGCTCTAACACTCACACCAACACCAACACAAACCATCATCAAACACTAAGTTCAAGGGGGTTTATCATTGAAAAAGCAAGATCACACTGCAACTCTACAAATATCTACATCATGTGGGTATAATGTTAAGGTTGAATAGTTTTTCTTCTCGAGATTCTATCAAACTCGGGCATGCTAATTCTTTCTTTGACTTTATCTGAACTGAACAAAACCTCTGATTTGTATTATACACTACAAGTACAATCCACAGAAAGAGTGTGCACTACTCACAAGACTCTGACTGCTATTAACTCTGAAGCATATTAATACTCTGTGACTTTGAACTTTCTTTCTTTCTGTCTTTCTTAAACTCTAACTTGTTTACAGTGAAAGTTAACACTATATCATCTTTGTTTAAAGTGCACTTGTCACTATAGCCAGAAGCTACTAACCAACCAACCAAATCCTCTCAGAAGTGGGGGGGAAAGTGCTTGTTCTCATTTAGAGGCCAGCACCCTCCTTATATATGCTCAAAACAACCCTTGACAACTGATATCAATCATTGTAACATGTGGATTCCTTGTAGCATGTGCTGATTTTGATGGAAATCATGCTGCATCTCGGAGTAGCATGTGGACCTGTTGTACCATGTGCTTCCTTTGATGGGAATCATGCTGTACCTCGGAAGGCTTTCCGGATGAGGGACATATGCTAAATCAATTCTGATATTCTCGGAATTAACTCCAGAGGTCCGGAGTTTATCTTTTAATCTAATCTTTCAGCTTTATGGCAATGCCATACAAAGATGAAGCTCGGAACACTTTAATCCTGCAGATATTGTCCTAGTCCAAGTCAAACACAAGTGTGGGTTTTAGTATTAGAGCTTTATTACTTGGAAATACAACTGTATTATGCTATGAAGACCCACTTAAGTGTCATTCAGATGCAATCACTGTGTAGTTCTGTGTGTCTTCTCTGAATACAATGTACTGTCCAGTCTCAGCATCACTGATAGTCCTTTACAGTTGAAAATGCATTATTACTGCATTATAGACTCAAATAAAACTGAGTCATATCAATGTGAACGTCGACTCCGATGCCTACATTCCTAGATATTAATAATCAATTGTTATCACTATGTAGAAGGAATAACTCACAACCCCCACCCAGACCCCAACATCAAATACCCCATCTTCTTCCCCACCCCAGGCAGCTCCAACAACTCCCCCAGCATGCGCGGTACATCCCCACCGTACTTATCCCGACAAATCACCGCAGTGGCCTGGATATACCCCGCTTTGCAGCGCCAGAACCCGACTTTGTTGATGCTTTCCTGGACGAGAGACGGCGGGGCACACGCTAGTGCGGAGGCATTGAGACCGCGGAGGGCAGAGCGGAGGTTGGACACGGCGGTGTGGGTCACGAGGTCTTTGGTTTGGGATGACAGCATTAGAGAGATCAGGATCAAGAACCGTTTGTTCTGCAATGATTCAGCTTCACCTGCAACGTCACACCCCATTGTATCGACCGGAGCGTCTCGCGCGCACCGCATTCCATGGATCAGGTCATACGCTTGACGCCAGTGAGCGGGAGCAGCGTGGGAGGTGGGGTGCTTTGGTGCGCGGACTTTGGTTTTCAATCTCGAGGGCGACGTTGAGGATTTCGAAGGTTCATTGACTCGTTTCACTCGTTTCAGTGGTCGAGTTTCTTCTAATTCTGATTCACTCTCCGCTAGATTCCGCATAGATCTTCTCCTTGTGCGGGTCATCGGCTCGTCGAGTGTAACTAGCGCGTGTGTCGTCATGAATAATAATCCAACCCAGAGTTGTTGTTGTTTCGAAGTGAATGAAATTCTGATACCTCTCATAAGCGAAACAACAACAACATCCCTGGTAGTATATTGGTTAGTACACGCGCCTGTCATTATAGATCACTACCAAGCTGATTCGCGCGAAAGCTGGGTTCGACTCCCAGCCAGGGAGATATATTTCAAAAAATCTTTTTATTCAACCCCTGCGTCAGTCTCCTCGATAACATCACTAAAGTGAGTCACTGTTTGTGGGGGGTGTCTATTGACCATCTTAAAGCTCAAATCATAGCAGGACAGGAGAAATGTACCAGCACATCAGTGAAATCTACCTCAGCCACAATAAGCTGTGAGTGACCACATAAAACTCATAGCATAGCCTGTAACTACTACCCAGTGAGGGGGGGGGTTTGTCAAGTCCATGCCTCGGCGCCTTGCTCCACCGCTCGGTATCCTGAGATCTACTCTTTATTGTAATTGTTTTTTCTCGCTACACATACCCATTCATTCTAGTTCAGTTTAATTATCAACTTGGATTATCCTCTTCAACCAAGTTCATCCTCTCTTGTCTAATAAGCCTTGAAGTACTTCTCACTCTGACCTTGGAACTTATAAGTTTTTTGGTTCACTCCGACTGTCAAGCCCATGCCTCGGGCCTCCAGTCTGCTGCTTGGTACTCCGAAGATTCACCTTTTATTGTAATCTCTCCTTATTGTTCTTTCTCGCTACACATACCCTTACATTCTAGTCTCTCCTTATTGTCTTTTACCTTACCCTGCAGGTACTACACGTATAGCTCCTAGTAGTTAGTCTGGCGCTCCGCACCGATGCGCCATTCCGTAGATATAAATACTGCCTGTACGCTACTGTAGTTCCTCAGTTTAATTATCAACTTAGATTCCCTCCTTATCTCTGTGCTCCTCTAAGTCTCCAGGCTCAACGCCTTGAAGTACTCTCTCTACAGCCTTTGGACTTATAAGTTCTTTGGCTCGCTCCTCGTCACCGGCATTACCGCCGCTCCGACTTGGCTGCTACTCAGCTCCTCCCTTCTATACTCTTGATCTCCGGGGACTAACAGCATAACGGCGGTGTTGTTAATAACTTCACTACTGTCCCACTCGTCTTCTGCACTTAGTACTGTAGTTCCTCAGTTTAATTATCAACTTAGATCTCTCATCGACTTGGATTCCCTCCTTAACTCTGTACTCCTCTAAGTCTTCAGGCTCAACGCCTTGAAGTACATTCTACTCTACCTTAGGACTTCGATGTTCTTTGGTCCGCTCCGACTTGGCTGCTACTCAGCTCCTCCCTTCTATACTCTTGATCTCCGGGGACTAACAGCGTAACGGCGGTGTTGTTAATAACTTCACTACTGTCCCACTCGTCTTCTGCACTTAGACACTTTGTGACCTCTGGCACGGCTACACGGTGTACATGATCTTAACAGTATGGGTATATGGTCCCTTCAATTTATTAGACTGATTCAGTATTGACTTTGACTGTCAATCTGGGTCTCAATTACAGTCCTCTTGATACGAATCTATACGTGATAATGTCACAATTCACAGCATAGACGTCTAGCCAAAATTTAGGCGTGTCACCGGCCTCCCATTCTTCCGGGTATGGTGGTTGGGCTGAATAAATGCAGTTGTGAGCTGAGTGGGTGGATATATTTGTCTGGGGTATTTGTCTGGGTGCATGATTGTTTGGTCAAGGTATTGGTTAGGCTCTTTGATCACACTGCAAATCACTGCGGGGATGAAGGACTTTTCTCATGAAGAATAGGCTGAAATTTTCAAGAATTTTGTAAAAAATTGTAGCTGAGATTATTTTGGAACAATCTGCTAAGGATTAGGCTGAAATTAATGTAGGAATATTCAAAATAATCGCGTTTCCTGCCATGTTCATGATTGTTTCATGGCAAAAATTTTGAAAAGTCTCAGCAAACTCTGGAAGAGAATTTTTGGAGAGTTTTGTACCTAATCTCTTCATATTCACTACAACATTAGGGTTTCATCCCCGCAGTGAATGTAACTTCCTGTTGAAATGGTTTCCAATTGTCTTCATCAATGAGCTGTTACTTGTCTGGGAGTCTCAGTATGATTGGGGTGATTCTGTAAGGACAAATTGATCTAATATAGGTTAGTATCCATACTGTGTAAATGATCTATATGTCTAGCAGGTTCACCTGGGTTGAGGTGAGTCGGCACCGCCGACTGTGGGATTTAGCTAAAACTATACATTATCTATCAAGTAATAACACCATCTCTCAGTTATATAGTCACCAAGAGGTGGTCAGTACATATGTGGGCAAGTTCAAAACTCAGTAGTACGCATGGAGTACTTTCCCACCAGTTCCCTCTATGAGATTGTCAGTCTTAACAAGAAGGAGGAATTCTGCGGAATGTGTAGTAGCTGCCTTTCTCAAAACTAATTCTTGTTGTGTTATTTCAATAAAACTAAAACTAAAATTAAACTATGCTTTGTGCAGCAGGAGCAGCATCGTCACTACTTACGAGTCTAGATGCGACTGTTAACTCCAATTCTGGGGATTTTGACTAGAATACATTTTCAAAAAAATATTATTTACCTCCCTGGCTGGGAGTCGAACCCAGCTTTCGCGCGCACGCACTCTCTATATTCTTCATGACAGGCGCGTGTACTAACCGATATACTACCAGGGACCTTATTCCTCTTGTTACCCAAGGAGGCATCTTTTTCTTCAATCAACAATACTTTGAAACTCCCGCTTTGATTCCATGTCCTTCACATCACTCCCAAATCCCCGTCAATCCCAAGCCCCGAAATTGACAATGCACACAAGTGCTTTCGATGCGTCTGACGAGTCGAAGGAGTTGGGTGAAGGGAAAGAGAAAGAATCTCGGAGTGAGGAAGAAGAAAGTGGTGAACGAAGGATGTCGAAGACCCGGATGAGGAGAAGGAACGTTGCGGAAAGTGAATCAGAATTAGATGAAGAGGAGGCTCGTCCATTGAAACGAGTCAAACGAGTTCACGACCCCTTGTACGGAGAACCGTCCTCCAAGTCACCCTCAAAAACGAAACCCAGAGTCCCCGCACAGAGAACCCCTCGCAAGCCAAAGCAACGCACCTCCACTCCTGCTCCTGCGCACTGGCGTCAAGCATACGACCTCATCCACGCCATGAGATACACCTCCCCCGGGTGCGCCCAAAACGCCCCAGTCGACACAATGGGCTGCGACATCGCCGGAGAGGCTGAAGACGAACACAAGAACAAACGATTCTCGATCCTCATCTCCCTCATGCTCTCCTCCCAAACAAAAGACCTCGTGACCCACACCGCCGTGGCCCACCTGCGTTCTGCTCTGCACGGTCTCAACGCCTCCGCCCTCGCTTCTGCCCCGCCCTCGCTCGTCCGGGAGTCCATAAACAAAGTCGGATTCTGGCGTCGCAAAGCGGGGTACATCCAGCACACTGCTGTGATTTGTCGGGATCAGTACGAAGGGGATGTACCGCAGACCCTGGGGGAGTTGTTGGCGCTCCCTGGGGTAGGGAGGAAGATGGCATATTTGATGTTGGGATCGGGGTGGGGTTTGAACGTCGGTATCGGAGTCGACGTTCACGTGCATCGTATCTCCAATCGCTTGGGATGGCATAATTCCCCGACGAAGACTCCAGAGGAAACGAGGATCAGCTTGGAATCGTGGCTACCGAGTGATTTGCACCAGAAAATCAATCATCTGTTGGTCGGGTTTGGTCAGGTCCGTTACATTTCTCGACTTTTTGTTTTCTTGGGTTTTATCTCTCTCTCTCTCCACAGACGATATGCACCCCCGTCAAACCTAAATGCTCGGAATGCGCTTTGAGCAGTATTGAAGGACTTTGCCCAAGTTCCTCCTCCTCTTCCTCTGCCTCTTCACCTCGCAAAGCAGCCAAAGCCAAAGCCAAAGCAGTCATGAAACCCAATATGAAATCCACACACATCAAACTCGATACCACGGAGGAACAACACATCGACGCGTCGGGTACTGGTCTTCCCACAAAATCAGACACAGAGACAAAACCAGAAATCCACACCCGCACCCACACCCACACGGAGACAGAGACACACATGAACGATGATTCCCAACACAACAACACAATATCAATCAAGCACAAAGAGAACACCATCATCTCAACCACAACCACAGGTACCCATCGACATCACCCGATTATTGGAGGTCCAAGAATCAAAATAGAAATAGAGATTGAGCAATAGCACGCCGACGACTCTCACTGTGCTTTCCGCCGGTGACTCTCATTGTGCCTTCTTTTGCTTTTTGTCAACCCTGCGCGGGATGCTTCAATAGGGGATATTTCTGCATTATAATCCAACTAAAAATGAGGCTAATATCTTGACAACGTCGGCAAATAGTACGCAGCACCAGGTAGATACAAAAGCTGCTTGAAGCTTTCAGTGACCAGAATTACACTCGAAGGAACCAACATCCCCATCAACAAACACACTGGAATCACCGCTGCTGCCTTGCGCAGAAAGTAATTACCCGTGCGGTGGGCGACATACAACCCAAGCCCACGGGTGCCCCAATAGACCATCCCTCTGAACGTCGCACCTAAAGCTGCGCCCTGCCAAAGAACCTGGTCAAAAGGCGTCGGAAAATCATAATAATACCACGCAGTGAGACTGGGGAATCTGAATAACAATGCAAGAACCGGGGCAGCGGTCGGACCTGGGTCGTTGTCGTTTAGTGTGATCTTGCGGGGGTTGCCACCGCGGGATTTCAGGGATGCGGATAGGCAGGAGTTTGGAGACACCAAGGCATCTGTGTAGCGGGGGTACTGCGTCTTCCAAGTCGGCGTTGTTGAAAGATTTTTGACGTGTGGTTTCTAGGTCCTGCAGGAGCCTCCATGGAGCGCTTGAAGCTAGGGCCCATCTCCGTTTGTCGGTATCGGTCAGATTTGGAGCTGCTCCCGGCGCAGATTCCCTGTCGTGGACGTTGTTCTGCCACTCTCTGTACCAAGGCTGGGGCCCTAGGTACCTCTTTCCTATTGACCTATCGAGCCAGGGCAACATACCATCTTTCCGGACGGTATCGGGGGGGTAGTAGGGTGTGAAGTAAATTTGTAACCAATGTTTGTTAGAATCTCTATTAGAACTTGCAGGACGCTTCTCGGCATCGAGGGACTTGATTTCATGACAGCACACACTGTCGAGTTCCGCAGGACGCCAAACCATAAGATACCCTGCAAGTACTAGCCATGCACATCAATGCGCATGTCCGCATTGCGACTTCCCCGCGGATGAACGTAGGATGAGCGACGCTGAGCAGTTTGTTCCACCAAAACGCGTAGGCAAGCAACGAACACAGCGTGTGTGCCACGGTGGTCACCTCCAGCAGAGTAACCGGCAGCCTTTGGATTTTGCGCGCTATACAGTTGACGAGGAAGAACGTGACCTGTACGACAACGACACTCTTCAAAAGACCGTTTGCTTTGCTCCGATCGGAGATTTCCTCGATAGATAAATCTGGGAACAAGTCTGGCTGATTCCTGAGAAGAAACTGAATACCTTCCGGGGTGATTACAGCACGTCCGTTTCTGTATGACGCTGGAAGAAAGTCTTCCGTTTGTGTATCAAACACAAATCCCCCCATTGCAGCGTAATAGCTGTGCATCATCGTCCAGCGATGCTTCCTGCTACAATCCTGAATCTTAAATACATCAGTATATCACTTCGCGCTATGTTCATACATTCATTCATACCTCCCCGTAACCACTATCTTGTGACCCTCCCCATTTTAGGTATTCCTTCAGCTGAAGGAATAGTCGGTGCCATGGCTTGTTGGAAGCTTCGCATGGGTTTGCTACCGTGAAGATCTCCCCTGCAATAGTCCATTGCCGATACGCGATGAAAAGCAATGTTTCCGGAGTAACCAGTCCCACAGAAATCCAACCAACTCTCACCCACAGTTCACGACATCTCCCCGAGTGACTTGGGACATCAACGTGAACCGCACTCCAAAGGCAGAGCAAGAGCGTCGTTAGACAGGTAGAAACAATATTGAATGTGCCACGAAAATCAGGATCTGGTTGCCAGTTAACGGGTGGGGCTGAAATATTAGACATCGCTGGAAACTACCACCGTTTCGGAAAGTGCGTATGTTATATAGGCAATCGATTTCCTGATTCTTGATACGAGATGATAGGCTGAAGGTCAGGCGTAGTTCAAGGTGTACTACGTAGCTCGACATTTTCGACAACTTATAACGATGGACACATGTTTGGGGGCATGTGTATGTATTGGCAACCTTCATGATGATCTACATGCAACCTTTATTTAAGCACAAACGTAGCGCTTAAGAAGACGAAGGAGAGGAATGAAGGAATTCTTTCTGAGATCAAGCGTGTCCTGGAATGACCGAAAACACGTACATAAAATGCGAACCTAGGCGCTTACTAGATGATACAGTTCATGGCCCAAGCAGATCTCGGATCTCTTATTTCATCCCCCCCCCCCCCCCCCGTCCCACATAGGTGGCAAACCAGATCAGGGAAACTTGAGTGCGTGAGGGGGAAGCAACAGAGTGGATTGCATGATGTTTATGACAGAATCCGCCGTCCAAAGGATCACCACGCTGCGTTATGGGAAACCTTCAGTCGAGTCATTCCGCTATTCATTCTGGTTGGCGCTCAATCCATGTGCTGAAATTCAGAGCTCGACGATTCGGTACCAGGCTTGATCTATGTTGACGAGTCGTTGTGTTTACATGCGGCTTGCTCGCGATCTGGTCAAATATACGTGGAATTCTCTTGACGCTTCAGCGCCTAGTGGCTGGTTTGCGCGATCAAGAGCCACCCTCTCGTACATCTGCATATTCCAGTTTCATCATTCCCATAGAGTGAAACGAAGACACTGTCTATTCTCGACAGATGAACTAAAGGAATATGACTTGAAGGCTGAATCAAGAAAATGAACCGAGTTCATGCCTCTCCTCGCAATGGAAGCGATTGCGCAGGAGCGATGCCGCTTCACAATGTAACTGTGGATATGAAAACTTCGCGGATATCGGAGTCAAGTGGAGAATTGTACGAGGTGCAATGCTACAGTCCGTGCCGCATACTGATAAAGAGTATGAAAGTCATACCCGCGAATGGAGACATCGGCTTCATGCTTTCTGACAAGCAAGCTTCTCATCCCAACGTTCGGAACCTACACCTTCACATGAAAAGATCTGCGGGGTCGAAGATCTTTGATGGTTCCAGTTCCGTAGAATAATCACCGAAGAATTTCTGCTGGGAGTTCTCCAAACGATGGCTCCTTAAGACAGATTCTGATGAAACCGGACACCGCACGGATGCGCGATGGAGACTCAATCCCGACATGCGCGATCCGGTAGGAATAACATTTGGTTTTGGGAGGAGGTAAGTCCAAATTTGTGGGTGGAATAGATGATGAATCATCTCCAGAGTCTGTCCCGGCAAACACATGGGACTGACTTCATTTAAAATGAATGTGGCCTCACTCCTGCACTCTTTCGATATTACTCCTCCCTTGGATGATAATGGGCATGTGGTAAATCTGGAGACTGAATATGTTTCTGGTCTGCTAAAGTATGTTGTTCTCTCAATCTTCCTCCAATCTGAGTTTGATCTGTTCATATTACAACCCATAGTGGTCCTGTGCCATTTGAATGTTCTATCAAGC